GCACGCTGTGGCCCAAGCAATTCTAAGACAGTTCCCACCTGTGTTAAGTGCCACTATAAAACAGAGAGAGAGGCTTTAGAAGACAGATTAAGGGTTCATCCCACTGGGGACTCCAGGAAACTCAGTGGGGACTGGCACTCGAGGACTCCAGTGCACCAGCAGCAGTGGGAAATGACAGAGAGCAAAGGACCCAGCAGAAGAGGCAGCAATGCCCAGCAGGCTTGGCAGGACCCAGGGGAGCCCTGGGTGGGGCTCAACAGCAGAGGCCTGGCTTGGAAGCCCCCACCTCCCTGCCTATTGGCCTTGTTCCTGAGCACTGGTCGAGTCATGCCAGGGCCCTCCCCCAAGTAGCTGATGTTCTGCAGTGGGTCGGGGTTCTGTATGCCTAGGTGGGAACGACAGCCCACCCGGCACAGCTCAGTCACCACACTGCTTCCCCACAGCAGCCCTGAGGGCAAATGTCTTCCCCATGAAAAGGTCAAGTCTTAAGCAAGTGTATCTGTAATAATTGCCAATTTTATTCCTCTGGCTAAGCTATCCAGAGGTAATTTGAAGTTTACGTTTCTTTTTTATAGTTCTGTTATTAAGAGTTTATTAAGTGTTTCACTGCCCTGCAAAGGTGATTGACAAGTTCTTTTATTAGGTCTGTTTATTTTAGTTTTTTGGTGACACAAGTAATACACACACATATATATATAAAATTCTTTTTTTGGAAATTGAGAAGATGCAGGTAGACAAAAAAAGAAATAAAATACAGATCACACAGAGATTCACTGTTAACCTTTTGGTGTACAATAATTCAGACTTTTTTGCATTATGACATATATAAATGTACATATAAGGTACATAGATAGATAGACAGGTCTATCTATCTATATATAGCATTTGCAACGTATTGTTTTTACTTTACAATATACAATGAGCATCTTCCCATTCAAACGAAATGAAACAACACTATTAAAGAGTGAGACTGGGTCAAAAGATGAAATGTTGGTAACAAGAGTCATATGTAAATCAAAGGAACACTGAAGGATTGTAGCAAAATCATAGCAAATATTTAGTAAGAAAACGCAGACAGAAAGAACCAATGCTGGCAATATTAATAACAAAATAGTTGAATTAGGGGGGAAAAGGCATTAAATGGGATAAGGACGGTCCCGAGAATTCCTATGGTTAGAATGCAAAGCCCTAAATTTCTTTCTCAGACTCCTTATCTCTTCCAAACACCTTTCCATCTCATCTCCCTCTCTTGTCATTTCTTCATCCCTAAAATGCCTATAGTCTATGTCCTCTTTAAATTCCTCGAGAGACTGAAGCAGCCTTTGCCTAAAATTCCCTTCTGTTTGTTGGCGTTCAAATTCTCCATAGGGGTGTTCTTCCTCCCTCTTTGGCACGCGGCGCTTGGGCTTTCCTTCATTTTCTTTGCAGGATTTTTGCATGATATTGCTGTTTCCTGCTTAAGTTCAGGGAGAAAATGTAGAGTAAGATTGCTTCGTTTCTTTTGATTCAAGATTGTCAGTTTCTCTTGGAAGCTCCATACTCGCCTGGTCTCCCACCCCTGCCACACTGGTCCAGCCCTCAGAAGTTGGAGATGCCTCCCCTTCCCCCCTTCCCCCCCTCCCACCGCTTCTCCACCTCCTCTCCCCTCCCTTTGCCACCCACCGTTTCTCCAGCAGACGAGGCTAATGGCCTCTCCGATGGGCGGGAGAAGGGGCGCAGACAAGGAGTTGAGCAGTGAGGCCGCAAATTTTACTCATCTAGGGCCCTTCCCAACTCCCACACTCAGAAACCCGGGTCTAAGTGCCTGCCTCACACTGACCTGAGACGTTTCGGAAGAGTTTCCTCCTCTTCTTGCCTGGAGATGTCTGTGAACACAGACCCTCGGACCTGCAGACAGAAAGGAAGGGGAGGAGGGAGATCTCTGTGGATCCACCAGCCCCGAAGACAAGACACACGTTATAATCTTGAATCCAGGATCCTCATCACCATTGTCGCCCCAGATTTCCAACCTCCCGGTTCACCTCCTGTTCCTATCCCTTCCTACTAGGTGTCTGCTCCCACCCCACCCCCCCACCCTCAGGCCTAGTCTTTGCCAGGGCCACAGTCCCCTCCCCCCTACCCCGCCCCGACCACCGCATCCCTCGCAGGCTAACACTGAATGAGAAGAACTAAAAATTATCTCTAAATTTCTCTGTCTCCACCTCAGGATTCCAGCCGTTCTCCACACACCAGCCCACACTTCATTTCCTCCAACAGAATTGAGAAAAAGAGGAGAAGGATAAAGGGAAATCTTGCCAGTCTGAAAGAACCTGATTATTTCTAAACTATCACTAAATCTCTGGGTGTCTCTCACAAGACTTCCACGTACTCCAGCCCCACCCTCCTTCAAAAAATACAATTATCTCCGAGAGTTTGCAGGGGTTTGGGGAAAGCAAGCCTGGACCTATTCCAGTCATTAGCTTCAGCCACTACCACCCCAGGGGTCCCAGCGGTTCCCTCACACCAACCTGCTGGGATTTTAAAGAATTTACGTCTTCCTCTTGGTCACAAGCACGAACGCCTGCAGGGCAGTAAGGAGCTGGTACCCAGAGGGGAAAGAAGCCCGGGAATATAAGGACTTCACGGCAGCTCCTGATCACGTGAGGATTATGTCATCCTCCAACTCTGGTCCCCACTTTCCCCTCCCACCAGCTGTGCTGCAGGAGTGGAATGGCTTTCCAACCTCCCACCCCCCACCCCTCGCCCCGTACCAGGCCCTGTCACTCATTTCCATCATTGCTAATTCCAGAGGTCAAAAGTGGCCCCTTCTCCCTGTGGTTGGAATTTGCCTCTCTCTGATTACCAGAGAAGGGTTGTGTCTTCCCATAGTCATATTAACAATTGTTACTTTTTAGTGGTTGTGTTGAGAGAGAGGCTTATTCATCCTCTTCTAAGCTGCAAGAACAGAAAGGTAAAATATGAAAATGAATATATGTCTGTATATGCATGACTGGGACATAGTGCTGTACACCAGAGATTGACACATTGTAATTGACTGCACTTCAATTAAAAAAATACTAAAACTAAAAACAAAACAAAAAGAGCAGAAATCTGCAGTCTTCCCTCCACCCACTTTCTCCCCAGTCACTACTAGCTATCATTTTCCTTGCACTTCAGTTCTTACAACCAAATTGGCGGGGGGGGGGAGTTAAATTTAAAAAGGGAGTAATGATTGAGATTGTGTTTTTTATTTTTCTTCTGATAATTTTCTCTTCTTTCCCATTTTTTCCATAAACATATTATATTCTTTTAATAATCAGAAATAGGATAATGATATGTACATTTGGAAAAAAGATTCAAGATAGGAGGAGAAAAAGACCCAGCCACCTGTTTCTGTTGCTGAGTCATAAAATAAATATAGACCCTCCAGGCAGACACACTTTTGGAAGTTTAAAATGTACAGGGCAACTGGGGCTACTCTTTTGAGGTGCTCCTGGGATGTGAGGGTCTTTCATTAGGTGAGCCAGTGAGTCCATAATCCTACAGCACCTTGCTCTTAGATTTTTAGATCTCAAAAGTGAATCATACAGTGTACCTAGTTCGATCTCAGTATCACGCTCTTTCATTTCCTTCAATACTCTGTTTTGATCCCACTTTTCATCAACACTCTTATTCAGAATCAAATAGTTTTTCATTTCTCCCAGATATCATCATCCTATTTATGTTTCCTTAGACTTTATTCAGCCACACTGGGGAATTAGAAGCACTACCAGAAACGGGCCCCATTTAGTCACTTATCACACATTTTTGTTGCTGAGGCTTTTGGTCCTAATCTAAGTGCATTTGTTGTCGATTGGTTAGCTTGAAATATATGCAATAGAAAGAGGGATGTGTTCTTAAAACTTGTTTTTGGGAAGACAGTATCTTATTATAAAGACAAAGTTGCCACTAACCAGTTTGATGTAAATGGTTCCAGAAAAGACTTAAGAGGAGAAAGAGAAGAGATCTTAAAAAGAGTGGGACTAGGGGCGGTGGGGATGGCTCAGTGATAGACTGTGTGCATCATGAGGTCCTGGGTTCAACCCCCAATACCTCCATTAAAATAATAATAATAAATAAACTTAATTGCCCCCCCAAAATAATTTAAAAAGTGAGACATTGTTATCACAGTTATTAAGGAATGGTTAGTTGTGATACAGGCAAAAGGTTTGTTGGTGGGGTGGAGAGTTCCTGAATTCTCTATGAACAGCTTTGCATGCAGAGATTTAGACTTATGTTGCTGGATGTCTTTATTTTTTTCAATATGAAAGTAGTCATTGTTTATTAACTGACAAGATTACAAAAATATTGGTAGATACCCTAGTTCATCCTTCGAATAAGCCTGGCCTTTTCTGGCCTTCCCTGTTGCCAGTATCTCCACCTTTTACAAGATTGGTGGTCTTTTTCTTCATTTTCTTCCTAACTGACAAATACCAAGTGCTCCAGCAGGTGGGGTCTCAGTGATTACCTCCAAAGGATCTCAGGAATCCTTCCAATTCCCACTCTGGCTTCACTGCCACTCCCGTAATGCAAGCGGCCATAAACTCCAGGACAACTATGACATTTCCTGGTCCCTTTGCCTTACATCTTGCCACCTTCCAATAGAATGATGATTCTAAACAACAGATATGATCATGTCACTGCCCTGCCTTATTGTACTTCATCCTACAACAATTCTGTTACATACAGACATCTTTAGTTTACCTAAACATTTCACAAAATAAGGAATCTCCACTTATAAGTAAAAGCTGGCAATAAAACACATGCAAATGTAAGCAAAGTAAGATATTGAGTTAGATATAATTTGTCTCCCTGGTATTGGCTGCAGGGACTCATAGGTGAGGACAAAGAGGCATTACGGATCATGCAAAATAAAAACCTCCAATAATTGGGACCTTCATAAGAGCTGACCAAAAGCCATGTAAACCAGCATAGCTACAGCAATCATCCCAGTTTCCCTTCCCCCAAATCAGTGTAAGGAGATGGGTAATGGTAAGAAGTAAAGAATTATAGGAACCATTGACTCTGTGGGGACTTCAGCATTGTTTATCATGACAACAATTACAACAACAACAGTACCTAACACTTATATAATTCTTCTCATGTACCAGACACTCTTCTAAGCACTTTTCATATACTAACTGAATTATTACTCATTACTACTCACAATACTAATATTAAGGAACTATGGAGTACAGGGATTAAGTAGCTTGCCCCAAATCACACAGTAAATAGTGGAGATATAATTTTAACCAAGATATTCAGACTCCAGGGTTGGCACATGGTGAAAGTCAATTCAATCTCTTTCTCATGGATAAAAGGAAGAGCGTAATTCCTTCCTCTTTTCAACCAAGTGGAGGTGGAGGCTATAAGAGAATTACATACAGAGAGAGGTCTGCAAGAAGGGAGTATGGTGTTTAGTTCCTAGTTAGATTGCCGCTTATCCTGTTGATCCATAAGACACAGCAAGGCGTAGATAGAAACACAGTATATTCCCACCTTGGCTATGGCAAGGATGAGTGAAGTTTCCTGTGTTAGGTGCACACCAGGCTGAGTTGCTGGTTCCTTTTCCAATATGACTTCACACAAAGTGAGGGGACTCTATAAGTAAATTGGCCTAGAATTGTACAAAATATACTTTAAATAAACCAAATTATAGAAATGATGGGCAAATTGAGATCAGGGATATCCTCCTACCTTGAAGAACTAGATAACTGGACAAATATATTAAACAACTACAAATGTTTTCAGACTCTGGACAATTGGTGACACAAGGATGTGATCCCTGAGAGAAGAGAAGCAATCAAGGCGAGCCCTATGACTGCTTTGGATTTTTTTTAATTGAAGTATAGTCAGTTTACAATGTTGTGTCAATTTCTGGTGTACAGCATAATGTTTCAGTCATACATGTACATACATATGCTTTGGATTTTGACTAAAGTCATCCTATGAATGGTGGCATAGAGAGGAAGGGCAAGTTTGCCTTCCTGAGTTGACAAGACAGAGACTGGAGTTCTGGGTGGTAGAGGTGGCTGAAGTTTGTGAGGAAGAATACTAGAGATGAGGGATCAGTGTAGAAAAACATTCTCCCAAAATCTTTAAAAAGTTTCCCTTGAGCCTGTTGTTGTATATTAAGCTTCACATACATAAAGTGAAACTTCATGAAGCAAGGCAAAGAGTGACAAGTGAGTTACAAGCCACATACAAAATCATACGCATGTAGTATGATTACATTTATATTAAATATACATATAGGCAAATCCATAGAGACATAAAGCAAATTAATGGTTTCCAAGGGCTAAAAGAGGGGAGAATTGGGAGTGAGTGCTTAAGGGGCTTGGGGTTCCCTTTTGGGTTGATGAAAATATTCTGAAGCTAAATAGCTATAGTTGATAACTGTACAACACTGTAATTGTACTAAAAGACACTGAGTTCTACAATCAAAACTGGGTTAGAGGTGTGGCCAAGACAGCAGAGTAGGAAGACCTGATCTTACCTCCTCCCACTAAAATTACAACTGTTCACAGAGCAGCCATCTACGATAACAACCTAAAGACTAGCAGAAAAGATTTTTTACAACTAAAGATTTAAAGAAGGAACCACAATGAGATAGGTAGGCAGAACTGAGACATAATAAGGACCCACAGTCTTGGGTAAGTGACCCACGAATGGGAAGATAATCACAATTGCAGAGGTTGTCCCCAAGAAGTGAGAGGTCTAAGCCTCACATCAGGTCCCCAGTCTGGAGGTCCTGTACCAGGAAGGCAAGACCCCAGAAAGTCTGCTTTGAAAGGCAGTAGGGCTTGTGTATGGGGAAGTTGGAGGGCTGTAGGAAACAGAAACCCTGCTCTTAAAGTGAGCACACAAAATGTGACATGCTCCAAGTCCTAGTGCAGAAGCAGTCATTTGAAAGGATACAGAGTCAGACCTACTTGCCGATCTTGGAGAGCCTCCCAGAGAGGCAGGAGGCAACTGGGACCCACTCTGGGGCCATCGATTCTGGCAGCAGCCATTTTGGGGAGCTTCTTCTACCACAAGGACGCTGGTGCTAGCAAGCATCATTTATTGGAATCCTCCATCTAGCCTATTAGCAACAGAGGTCTACCCACCCACCAGCAGACTGGCACCAGCCTTGGGCCCCCCAGCTCCACAGCCAGCCACCTCAAGACCCAGCCCTGCCCATGAGCAGGTTTGCAGTCACAACACGAGGCAGGGCCTAGCAGCCAACTGAGCTGGGAGCCAACCCCATCTACCAATGTACCCAGAGTGGTCTGCCCCATCACAATAGAAGAGCCCACGTCACCCACATAGCAGGCACCTCTGGAGCATACAGTTCTGTTGACCAGAAGGGAGTATGGTACTGGGCCCAATAGGACATCTCCTACATAAGGCTACTTCATCAAAATGAGGAAATGTAACCAACCTGCTTAACAGATAGAAATGAACACAGAGAATCAGGCAAAATGAGGAGATAGAGGAATATATTCCAAAAGGAAGAATAAGGCAAAACCCCAGAAAAAGAACTAAGCAAAGTGGAGATAAGCAATCTACTTGATAAAGAGCTCAAGGAGATGGTCATAAAGCTACTCACTGAACTCGGAAGAATAATGGATGTGCACAGTGAGAACTTCAACAAAGAACTGGAAAATATAAAGAACCAAACAGAACTGAAGAATACAATAACCGAAATAAAAAATGCAGTAGAAAGAATCAACAGAAGGCTAGATGATACACAGGAATGGATCAGGAAACTGGAAGATGGAGTGGCAGAAATCACCCATGCTGAATAGAAAAAAGAATTTTTAAACAATGAGGACAGTTTAAGAGGCCTCTGGGACAATATCAAGTGCACTAACATTCACATTAAAGGGGTCCCAGAAGGAGAAGAGAGAAGGAAAAAGACAGAGAACTTATTTGAAAAAAATAATGGCTGCAAACTTTCTTAACTTGAGGACGGAAATAGACATCCAGGTCCAGGAAGCATAGAGAGTCCCACCCAAGGTGAACTGAAAGAGGTCCAGATCAACACACATTATAATCAAACTGGCAAAATTAAAGACAGAATGAAAGGAATGAAATTCTGGCATACTACAACATAAATGAACCTTGAAGATGTTATGTTAAGTGAAATAAGCCAGGTACAAAAGGACAAATATTGTATGTTTCCATTTTCATGAGGTACCTAGAATAAGCAAATTTTTAGACATAGAAAGCAGAATAGTGGTTGGCAGAGACTGTGGGAGGGTAGGGAGGAATGGGAAGTTATTGTTTAATTGGTACAGAGTTTCAGTGTGGGAAGGTGAAAAAGTTCTGAAGATGGATGGTGGTGATGGTTGCACAACAATGTACTTAATGCCATGAACTATACATTTAAAATGATTAAAGTGGTAAATTTTTTGTTATGTGTATATTTTTATCATAATTAAAATATATATTTAAAAAATGAATCAGCAATCTTTGAATTAAAAGATATCTAAGAGACATATCAAGGGTAATGTGTGTGTTATTGGATCTTCATTCAAACAAATGTAAATTTAAAAAAATGATATTTATTGGGCAAATGAAAACTTGAACATTGAACAGATATTTAATATTAAAAAGTTATTACTTTAGGTGTAGTAATATTGTGATTAAGTTTTAAAAGTTCTTATCTTTTAGAGACACATACTGAAGTATCAACAGATGAAATTATATGTTGTCTGGAATTTGCTTCAAAATAATACAATAGGAAAAGAGAGGGTGGGAATAGAAAACAGACTGACCATGAACTGAAAATTATCATAGCTTAGTGGTGGGTACATGAGGTTGCATCATATTTTTCCAAACAACTTTTGAATATATTTGGAATATTCCATAAATTAAAAGTTTTTTTTAATACTATGACAAAATTTAAAAATCTAGCCCTGTGTGCTTTGAATGATTAGGGCTGGGTCTCAGAGGAGGACACTACACTGGTGAAAGATATACTCTCTCTGAGTAGGCCAAATATCCCTTCACATGAGGCCATTTGGAGAAAGCTAAAGGAAAGGGTAAACTATCAGGCCAATAGGAGCTAGGAGACAGCAATGGCCAGGTTGGCTTGAAATAGAGAAAGCCTCGAGGAGAAAAAAGATCTTGACCTGAGCCTCAGAACATCGGCAGGACCTACGAGTAGCGTGAGAAACAGAGAAGACCCATCTGACTGGACGCAGACCCAGTGTAATTACTGCTGATTACTCTGGCCTGTCTTATGCTGTTTTGTGAGTAAAAGCACACTTAGTTCTCCTTTAGACGTGCTTAAGTCTCCTGATGGTGTCTATGATCTCAAAGCAGGTTCAATGCAAGCTCTTTATGACACAAAGTCAGAAAGTCTGTGCTCCAAATTCCCCCAAGGGTTTTCTCATTTATTTCTAGGTAATAGAATCTGAATTTCTCAACCTTTCTGTAGAATTCAGGCATTTGCAATTAAAACATGGGTGCCCCTTGAGCCCACAAATTCATTCCTAGGTATCCATCCTAAGCAAATAATCATGATGTTCACAAAATTTTAACTATGACAAAGTTATAGTAAATATGGATGATCAAGGTCTCTACACCACACTGATATTCACCCAGTTAATTTTTCTTAGACATGAAGAAAACTTTTGTTTTGCACTAAACGGAGTTGAGTGTGGATGCAGTATCCCAGATGATTAACTTTACTAAAGTTTGGCTGATGATTGTTAACTTTATTGCCATCACTCCTTTTACCCAAGACTGCTAATTGTCCCCAGTGACAATTTTCCCCATCTTCCTCTAAGTAACAGAATTTCCTTTCCCAATGTTTTAGAAGAACTCTTGATCACTCAGCTAGAAATTAACATTCCCTAGCCTCCCTTGTATCCAAATACAGTATGGTTTTTGTTAGTTCTTCGTAATGGAATATGAGCAGATGTGGAGCATCCAAATTCTGTATCACTTTTTAAAAGAGAATCGTTTGCCTACTACTTTCTCTTTCCTTCTTCCTGTATTCT